CCAAAGTAAGTAAGTAAGTAAGCACTGACATTAATAGCTTTTCTAATCCACCCCGCCGTTATTTTTAAGTTTATAGAATATACTATTAACTAGCATATCAGCCTAACTGATTCTATACCATTTTAAGTCTATACACGAGTTACTTCCCTTAGACTAGGTTTCTTACAGCTCCACAACACTACTGCTAAAACTTCTTTCTCCCTTTCATCCACCTTTACTGTATTTCTTTCTTCTTTTACCCCCCTAATTTATATTTTTTGGGGCCAACCGATTACTTATTTATTTCCCACTATTGTTTGTTATTGTTTAACCCGTCTGGCCCCGACTGCGAAATAGCCGACGGCTGAAGCGGTCGTAAAATCCACTAATACTACTACTACTGACATCCTGTTCCAAATATCACGATCAGAAATGACTGCAATACTCGTTGGCGACTCTTTGGTCAAATATCTTGGACGGTACACTGAGAGAGAAGACATAGTTACGAGATCTCTGTCAGGAGCCAGGGTGGCTGACGTCCCCGATCTCCTCTGGGACATTGAGAGGTTTAAGGTAGGAGACGTCTTCATATCATATATTTAAGCAGTTAAAGGAAGTAACATTTTGCACATTATGAGGACTGTTCCACGCACGCACGCATGAAGATTAAGTCATCATAAACTCACCCCAATGATAATTGAAACCGGTTTGGATAGTTGATACAGACACTGTGTGATAAAACATATTTCCAAAAACCTACCTTACGTTTGGGTTTCAGTGAAAGATACATCTGAAGTGACCGTTATTTTAACATTGTTTTCAGTTCGTCATTGTCCATGTTGGGATAAATGACTTGGCTTACATGCCCAGAGCGCCGAGACAGGTCTTGGACGACTTCATCAAGCTGCTCGGCTGTTTAAGGGAACGGAACCCACGGTATGTCATATCATCTCCTGTCATACACAATCCAATATTTGCATGTAAATTACCGGCTTTTGAGCTGACTTCGCAATGCATCATCACACATAGTCCATAACGTCAGATGACAACATAGTATCAGAGACCATATACCGGTATATGGTCTCCGATAGTATAATAGGTTCGACCGATTTGTTTGACGTGACCGCCGCGTCGGCAAAAGTACTGTTTTGGGGGTAAATAACGATTTTTATGTTTTTACAGAGCTGTGGTATTCCTTTCCGGAGTCACCCCGAGGGATCGGAACCGGTGGCGCCAGGGCCAGGGCATTTCAAACCACGATGCCCTGAACATAAAAGCCTACGCCCTAAACAAAGGTCTAAAACACCTTTGTGAAGCGGAGCGACTCACGTATGTTGGACACCCTGAATTTATGTCTTCTGGCATAGTGCGGAAGGACTTTCTCGCGCATGATGGCCTACATTTACGTCCAGCAGGTCAAAAACAGCTGGCATCAGACCTGATCCGTGCTCTTGCTGTGGTATGTTTTTTTAAAAGAATTATTGTTTCATAGTATTTTTCTTTCCAATAGTTTGAATATTTACTGTATTAATGCACCACAAGGTCATGAAGTGGCCATAAAATTTCCGAGTGCTGTGATGGGATTCAAACCATGCACCTTCCAACCCGAGCTCGGACGCTTTGTTCACATGACCAAAGAGGTTAACACCCATCCTCCTGTTCACTGCCGAACTTTCTCATCTATCATCTATCATCTACTTTTTTTAATCAACTTTCGGCTCATACATTTAGTATAATACTTACACTGGTACCTAATCCGTTTTTGTACAAATAGTAACAACAATGTGGCACCAATACAATGTTAGAATGTTATTTTTTAAGTTAGCATCCGTTTTCTGTTTTTTTCACAGGTTCAGCATACACCCGTAAAGAACGCCCATTCGCAAATTCAAGTACGTCCCACCTTCAAACGCATTTAATATTAATTTTGCCTTAGGTATATTTCCTTTTCATATCAAACTGAACAAATCTGAACATCAATAGAATCGTCCATGATGACAATGCCGTCTACAATAATGTGTTCCTTTTTAACCAGACGACTCACCCACTCAAGACTCCCTCTCGCCCACTCAAGACTACCAGTCACCCAGACAAGACGACGACTCCCCCAACCACGCCTTCGGAGTGGGTTTTGTCGTACGCCCATGCCTGTTCAGAAAAACCTGCAGGTGTCCCAGGCCCACCCCCTCCTCCATTGGACATAGCTTCAGAGGTAAGCATTGGATAAAGAATATAAAGTCATGCATTATACATATTCATTACATTAACTTGTTGTAGTCTTTGCAACCGTCTTACCATCGTTATTTAATGCAGGTCGACTTTCCACCCCTACAAAAGGCAGCATGGCTTTCACGGGACAAGATGGCAAACAAGGTGAAGCATATAATTGCAACCTTCTCTCAAAAATTAAATTCTTGCTTGCTGCTAAATAATTGTATTGTTAATACGAAAACCATATTTTCTTCATTTCATTAATTTCCAGAGAATGATAACAGACTCTCCCTTTAATGTACATTTGTTTATAATAACCATGAGTTGTTTTCTTTTTCAAGTCCCAATTGACAGCCTCCGCGCCAAAAGAGGAGAACCGGCCAGTGAAGGTAAGATATTTGCGCTACATAACCCAGAAACATCCCTTCCGTTATTTTTAATACTCCGGTTCGTTCCTTGGGGAATGCATACTTCTTTGTATTCTTTATTAATATAAGTCTCTCCTTAATAAATATATATTTGTTTTATAAAACCAAGCGTTTCTTATCTTTTCCAGTCCCAATTGACAGCCTCCATCCCCAAAACGGAGAACCTTTCAAGGAAGGTAAGTTAATAGCAGTACAAAAACTAGAAACATTTCTTCCGTTATTGTTTATAAGAAAAGTATCTGATTCTCTCCTTTATTAAAGAGTATATATTTGTTTTGTGAAACCACTTGTTCTTCTTTTGCAGTCTGGATTGACAGCCTCCATCACCAAAGAGGAGAAGTGGTCCGTGAAGGTGAGATATTAGTACTACCTAAACTAAAAACATTCTTTCCGTTATTTTGAATTAAAAAAATATCTGATTCTCTCCCTAATGTGTATATATTTGTTTTGTGAAACCACTTGTTCTTCTTTTGCAGTCTGAATTGACAGCCTCCATACCTCAAAAGGAGAAGCGGTGCGTGAAGGTGAGATATTAGTACTACCTTAACTAGAAACATTCTTTCCGTTATTTTGAACCTAAAAAAATATCTGATTATAGGTATAGTATAGTATATAGTATAGGTAGATATAACTCTATAGATGTAAACACATTTGAAGATACATCTGTGTGTTTAAAGTTGATTTTGACCGCCCGGGCCAAGTCGGACCCAACACAAGCCAAACACTTCTGATAGAGACTATGTTGAGAATGTAGAGGGAAAAGGGCTTCACTTTGAGCCCCTTGTTGTCTATAAATACTGCAATCTGTGACATTATAAAGTGGTGTATAGGTAGATATAATACTTATCTATAGATGTGAATCCATTTGATGATACATCTGTGAGGTTTAAGCTGATTTTAACAGCCCGGGCCAGGTCGGACCGAACATTTCTGACTTGGATTTTTTTAAGAAAATACAGTAAAAATGCTTCACTTAAACGGCGCAGATTTCTTTAAATGCGCTACACCTGGACATTATAAATTGGTGTATAGGTAGATATAACACTAATCTATAGATTTAAGCACATTTGAAGATACATCTGCGTGTTTAAAGTTAATTTTGACCGTCCGGGCCAAGTCGGAGCGAACTGTGTGACTGTTGAGAGTATAGGGAGAAGAGGTCTACTTTAACCAACGTGTCTGATTCTATAAATACGGCGATCTGTGACGTTATAAAGTGGTGTATATGTAGATATAACACTAATCTATAGAGGTAATCACATTTGAAGATACATCTGTCTGTTTAAAGTTGATTTTGACAGCCCGGGCCAAGTCGGAGCGAACTGTGTGACTGTTGAGAGTATAGGGAGAAGAGGTCTACTTTAACCAACGTGTCTGCTTTAAATACGATGAACAGTGACGTTATAAAGTGGTATTGACTTAGATATAGTACGTTCCTATAATATAAACGCTATGCCGACAGATGGAAATTCGTATCACGATAGCTAGAAGTATTTGATACGTGTCAAATCCTATTTCGTTTAACGATTGCTCTTTTACATGTTACCTAGCACAGCGACGCTAACACATAGCTCCACTTTCTAGTTTTTAAGTGATTTACTCCGAATTACTTAACTATGTTGCACGTTTTGGATTGGTGATTGTTCAGTAGTGTCATGTGTGTATGTTGCATCAATAATATGCAGATATTCATCAGTATTCATTTGTATTTTTGTGCTGATGATAGACATTAAGCTCCAGTGCCCAATTAAATGGCACCCGTTGTCATAGGTCAACAGTTTGGTGATTTAATAAAGTTCAATTATTATTGATTATTGATGAGTTGTAAGGATTTATCGACAAATTAAATGGTTCATTTGCACCACTATTAATAATCTAGTTGAACGTCGAATGTCACAGAAAATGTAGTTTGATAAGAGCAAAAATCACAGGAACATTATTTGTAATAAGGATATTGATCATAACAGGTTTGAGATAATCGTCTTTGATTCTTTATCTGGCAGTGGCTGTCGTGTCTTGGTCACGTGACGACAGTTCTACTCAGTCATTCAGTAGGCCGCAATAGGTCAAATCTTTGTTTTATCCTCGGACAATACACCCTTGAGGGTCCGATTTTCTCCAAGGAACCACTTTTACCATTATTCAAGCCACTTGAGAATATGGAGAGGCAAGTGAGGGCATTACCCACTTGGCTGTCCATTAAAATTGCACCATGCATGCAGAAAACCGAACCCGGGTCGAAGGAGAAACAAGTAGAGGCTTTATCCACTTAGCTACCCACCTCCCTTTATGAAACAAAAAGATCAGGACGCATGAGGTACAAGTCCGAGTCACGTGATTATGAAAACCAAACATCGCTACGACAGCGGCCTACTGTAGATAAGATTACCACCCAGCTCCAGTTCTGTTCTTTGTGACGAATCCGACAAGACGCCATGATCTGTTTTGCTGTTTTTGTGGTATTTTTGGGTGCAGCAAATGCCATTGTATGTATTCCTGAGTTGTGTGAAGGGGTGAAGCAAGTTCCCCTCAACTGTGCCGGTTCTGTCATCAAGGGAGGGGGATTCTGTAGCTGCACTGATGTCTGTGCTAAGGTATACAAAGGATCTTTCACTCACTCACACTTTCATGTTTTCAATCTTCACTCATGTCTGGGGCGTGTTACGAACTTATACATTTTCTTTGTTTCATAGCATGATAAATGAACATAGATAAATTTCTCATAGTTTTTGTGCAATCAAATGTCATTAATTTACAAACTTTGTTACCATTTGGGTTGTGGTAGAAATATTTATTTAGGTATTTTGCTCTTAAATCATTATAACTGGACATACACATAAAAAGTGATATTCATCTTTAATACAATCAGTTTTACAAATCTTACAAAGTCTATGTTCTCTTGCAATACCTTTTTGTCACATACTAAGATGTACGCCATTTTAAATCTGCCCATGGCGTCTCACCACGTATTCGTTGTGAATTGTGCGAGCATTAAAAATATTGTTACAGCTGCTATAAACTATCCAAATTGTATCCATATACTACTTTCCTTGTCTTACTCTGGGGTCATGATATGATAATAATATTGACTGGTGTTCATTGTACGTATTATTCCATTATCTCAAGGTCTATATAATTTTGTGAATATGAAGTTTTGCCAGATTGGTAAACTAGTTGTAAGTGCGTTCGCTTATCTGTCAGAAGGCCAAGGTGAGACTCCAAATATTGACCTAGATTCTATTTTGGGAAGCCTGCTCTCGGTGTCCTTTTCAAGTTATCGCTGCGTAACATTGGCTCACTCACTCACTCTTGGAGGCTAACGTAAACTGACTCACTCACTCTTGGAAGCTTACGTAAACTAACGCCTTTCAAAGATATCGCTGCGTAACAGTGGCGCACTCACTCACTGTTGGAGGCGAATGTAAACTCACTCACTCACTGTTGGAAGCTAACGTAAACTCACTCACTCTACATCCAGATGGAGGGAGAGACGTGTCAGGCCAGGTATATGCACGGGATTATACCTGCCGGGTCATGTGACACAGGCTTGGTTTGCAAGGAGGGTCAAATGATGGCGTTTGGCGCGGGCACCTGTGTCAAGGCCACGTCAAAGAGTAGGTTGGGTGTTGGGATCTCCGTTTCAGTGTGCACGTGGTGGAGTGTGTGTCATGTCAACCCCAATGCGAATAAAGCCCTGCCGTATGTGCTTGTTAAGTCCCTTACATCACTCAATCAGACAAAGTGATAAGTTGCCTGTGTATCTTATCGGCTATGCTTGGCTAACCCCAATCGACAAGAAGCTTTTATTTCAAATATATTCAAAGAAATTGGTTGAAAGTTTGAAGGTTTTGTAGTGAAATTACTTCTATTTGGGGTAGGCAGGGGGTGGGATGAGTGGGTCAGGCATTGGGTCGGGGAGGGTGGGTGTGGTTTATAGGCTCGGTAGTGGTGGGTAGATGTCAAGAAACACCAAGATCTTTGCCGTGTACTTATCCACCTGTTAGCTTTACATATGTCAATGGTGGCGTACTTGCATGGAGTGGTCAGCCTGACGCTGTGTCTCCCATGCTGTGTTACAGGTGGAGGGGGAGACGTGTCAGGCCACGTTGATGTTTGGGAGCCCTTCTATTGGCCAGTGTGATGCTGGCCTCCAGTGTAAAGCCGGGGACAACGGGATCATGAATTTCTTTGGCAGAGGAACATGTGTGAACACCACCAAAACCAAACGTATGCAGGCTTGCTTCAGAGTATATGTGTATGCTTGTCCTGCTTACTTTTGTGTTAGTATTTGTTTAGTATGTTGCTTTGTTGGTTAACTCGGCACTCAGCAATATTCTAGATATCTGCCGACGGCCTTTAAATAATCGAATCTGGACAATCCAGTGATTGATATTGTGAGCAACGTCCCACGCCGTAAGGATGACATGCATTCAACCACGTCGCCCTGTACGACAAGGATAGGCTACTGGGGATATATTCTAATGCGGGTATTTGCACTTATTGTAATGTATATCGGTTTCAATATTTATTCTGGTGTCATCTGTACACAAGACCATAAACGTGAACCAGAGGAAATCACTGCCTGGTACGAAAATGACCAACTTGACACTCTTATAAACGAATATATGTGCTATGCGTGACCTTGACCTGGCCAACGATTTCTTTTTTTACGCAGTTGTATAGTTATTGAAAATATTTTTTTTTTGTTCTATGTTTGTGACTATACTGTTTAGCTATTTTTTTTATAATTTTTTTTCCGTATTTTCACCTGCAGACATAGCACCTGACCATGCAATGTTTTTATTTTCCTTCCCCCAATCCATGTGGCGTCAGGCAGTGCTTGTCAATGTCTGACTCGGTTTAGTGTTATCTGAAGCCATAACGTGACTTTCTAGGATCCACGAAGACCAAATGTCAGCAGATGAGGATGTCGGCGATGATAACCATGATTGTTTACGCCAGCAAGTGGACGCCAGACTGTGACGCCGATGGTAACTTCACACCCCAGCAGTGCGACTTCTCGGGTGAGACAACGCTTGTAGTCTAATAAGGTATAGGTTTCTAAATAGAGTCCCAGCTGTGTTTTTCACGCGGTTCACCTGCTCATTGAAACACTATGTCTTATGTGACAACTCACGCGTGTGATTATCTTGCTCCAGTATCAATTACGTGTAGTTTATTCCTTTGTTTCAACAAGGTATCGACGGCTTTGTCGATTTGAAACGATTAAAAGACTTTACCCTAAATATGTTCGTGAGATGTGTTCTTCTAGTAGTAAATAATATATTCATTTTATTGAATTTATGAAACGCGTATCAAAAATACAACACACCACCGGCTGTCAGTCCGGAATATGAGACGCTGAACAGCCTTCGCAACATCAGTAGAACACACACACTCATGTAATACTCCCTGTGTTTCTATGCACTGAAGAAGGGACTAAGCAGTTATACAATGACCCACTGCTCCACTTATCTGTACAACAAATGTCAGACGACGTCTCTGACGAACCAAGACAGTGTTGATGTATGTAGATGCCTAGTTTCCAACTGAACGTTCATTTGGCTAGCTGGACAAGTTTCACGTGCTGTGATTTATCAGCAAAGACTGCGCTCCTTAAGAGCTTAAGCATAACCATTCACTATCCATTCATTATTCTGTTTTCACTGATACAAGCACACATGTTTTGACATTTGTCATGCGTTTTCTTCTTGTCAAGCAGTAAAAATTGGTATACGGATGATATATAAAAGCAGGTACGAATATGAAATTATAAATGTTACTAATAATAGTCATCATCATCTGCATCATCATCAACATCTTCAACATCATTAACATCATCACCCTCAACAAAGATACTAATCATTTCACCACGTGTTGCAGGTCACTGTTTCTGTGTGGACGCCATGGGAGTTATGCAAGGAAGCAAGGTCCTCGGTAAGGTCGACTGTCCCTCCAACTAACCCCACAGTGTACAATGTAGGAATAAACATTTCTTATTTCTGTTTCACTTATTTTTTTACAACCATAGCCATGTTAAAAATCTTGTGGAAGAAAGTCAGCTCATGTTCACCTCCAAAAATATCAATAACAGCACATCTGGTCTCAAGCATCGAGGCATAAACCCAAAGACGTATTCGTGTGATTCGTGTACTAAAATCTACTATCCCAGACATCTAGCCTCTAGACCAGCACTGTTTGGGACATCTACACGTGTACACAGGGGTTTAATCGGGAACGCCTAAACCTGGTGGAATTCACTACAGGAATGGTGAGGTCTGGATTAATAACCTTTCAGTGTATACTATTCATTTAAGGGGCGTGGTCGAGCGCATGCATGCATACAATATGTCTGACGAAGACCATAACAACCCTTCTTAAATCATCTTAGAATGATCATGGAGACAATGTGCTGACAACAAATCTTCCGCGACAATGTGACGTCATTTTGACGTCACTTCACGAGGCAACAGGCTAAACTTTTCAGCAGTCGCTCTCACGCCGCTAAAAATGGGCGCAATTGTTTTTAACTGTAATATTGCTTGTGACAACATTTAGTAGACAGATAACATCGTTATAGATACATATGTTTAAAAATTTTTTAAAAGAGATGGTAGATCTACAAGTGGTTTCCTAAACATCATTTGCAAAAAGTGTTGTAATGTCCAAAGCACAACGTTATCACAACGTTAATTTGCAACGTTGTTGTTACGTTGTGGAATAACGTTGTCATAGAGATACGCGATTACGTTCTGAAAATTTTAGTATTAAGAGATGAAAATTTAAATGCCGAATATATAGAAAGGTAATGCATTACTGCCTTGGTATTCTGACAAATTCATGTTGATTTTGATGAAGCAGTTCTATTCCTTTATGACTATCGAGAAGCAAGCTCTATAACGTTTCACCGACGTTTCAGAAACGAAGCTACAAAACGTTGTGTGATGTCCAATGCACAACGTTTTCACAACGTGAATGTGCAACCTTGTTTTAACGTTGTGAAATAACGTTGCACGTTGACGTTATAACAACGTTGTGACAAAGTAATATCACGACGTTACCAATCCACAACCTTTCCACAACGTTGTGACAACGTTGTGTGTTAGCTGGGGAGAGACTATGAGAGTTAGGAGCCGGTTTGAACAGTAATTCAGTTATATCCCCGCTTGGAAGCATGATGCTGGAGGAACGTCCAAAGTGATGCAGGTCTTCACCATTTCGATGAAAGCCCAGAGCATGAGTATGGTGCTGACAGATCTAGACATGAACTCAGGTCGAATCGGGTTTGAACCCAGAGGTTTCTGGCCTGCCTAAGGTAGGTAACTGTGTTCAGCAAACTGCGGCTGGGCCACCGTTGCCTCTGGACAGATGTTACAGGGCATGTAAACTCATCATAGTAACAATGCAGGTTTTAATACTTTAGGGCAATCTTTATTAAAATGCTTGACCAAAATTCAATTTGAAAAACGGAAATAGTGTAAAACAGACAATAAAAATGACAGGCGAATCGTTCCCCAAAACGAAAAACGGAATTTCCTTTATTGGGGATAAAACTGTTCCGTCTGACGGTGTCTGCTTGTTTCCACCTCGGATTATTAAATCGCATTACGTGGCTTTTTCTGTCTTCCGTTTGATTATCATGTCCACAACTTAGTTCAGCGTATGCCGTATTAGTAACAACAGTGAATATGCCTTCAAGTGTCCACTCAAAGAATTAATCCCTGACAGGCATTCGTTGTGTGGAACAGGACCGAGGGCAGCAGAATGTTTATGGTACCTAAACATGAGTTCACTCATAGAAAGTTAATTATATACATTACTTGTTATTTTGATGATTCACCATGTGAAGATCAATGGTCCTTTCATACACGTTTTATTTTTTAGGATAAAAATAAACTTATAGTATCATAGAAAATCCCGTTTCAAAATTGTTTTGACAAACGTAGAAATTATGGATGCAAAGTTGCGTTTACACTGAGGAAGGATGTGAATAGATACAGTACCATAATGGATACAGTAACATCACGGATAGTGTAACATCACGGATAGTGTAACATCACAGACATATCAACTTACAGTTACATGATATCTGAAGTAACATCTAGAATGAATGTAAAATCATCTGTATAATATAAAACAGCCTCCGAGGTTTTGGTTGCTAAATCCAAGAAAAAAACAGAATAAAATAAGAAAATATCGACATACCCTATAGTGAAACGATACAGTGTATCGTGGTATGAAAGGAATTAGCTCAAAGCGTGCGAGAGAAAAAAACATGTGCAGCATGGACAAGCTGGAGTCATTCCATGATAAACTGAACAACTTCTCATCACCTGCCCCGGTAGCTGTGTGGGAAAACAGTGGGTTACAAAACTTAACACGATGTGAGGTGGCAGGTTCCAATCAAGTCATGGAATTTTCATGTTAAAACAAATTGGGACTTTTAACCAATCATCAAAAAGAATTGTGTTCACGGCAAGTTTATAGGGGAGAAGGCAAGTTTATAACTTGATTGTAAAACCTAGGTATTACAGTTGTAATGTTTGCCCCGGGCATTGGTGATAATGCCTGTCGTGGACGTTTCAAGAACCTTCTGTTACTGTGGTGTGACGTCATCAGTGCTTTATAATACAGTAACAACATAGACTCAATAAATTAGCAGAAACAGTTACGTCATTCACCGACAACATCAAAGACACAATAACTTGGTATTATACACAGTAACATCATAGATACACCCAGTAACATCGGGAAGATCCAACCAGTCAGGAAATACTTGCAGCAAGTACATACACTGGGACATTCACTGAATGAGCCTTTCAATTTGACACAATCACTCAGTAGGCTGCGATAAGTCAAAAGTTTCTTTTGTTTGTGGAGAAGCAACCCTACACAGTCGTGGCCAACTCGCCTCATCTGGAACAAGACGAAGGTCAAAAGTTGTTGAAAGGATATATTAGCCTTACAGGCGTGGGGAACTGAACTTGGAACCCTTTAGCTCGGCGAGCGAACACTGTAGCTACTAGGCTATCCAGTAACACTTCATCATGCATGTGGGAATTCGAACCAAGGTCTAAGGCGAGCCGAGGAGAGGCTTTACCCGCTTGGCTACCCAGATGTTGAGATTCGCCTCCCGGTTGTACGGAGTTCTCTGCTGATAGCCGGAGCAGATTTGAATCTATTGCGCAGTGCAATGAATGTCATGAGACGACCTTGTCCAGGTGTCGTGTATGTATGCCTGCAACGCCAAGATCACATTGCATATCCACCCGTTTGACGGTACGGTACTTGTCCAACAGTCGAGAAGTTAAACATCTATTTACTCATTTATACATTCGGGCAACTTGGCATATTGACGCTCCCCCCTCCCCCAACACCCCCCCCCCCCCCCCCCCCCCCATCTCCCCCCCCCCCCCCCCCACACACACACACCACACGCACGCACGCACGCACGCACACACACACGCACGCACACACTCACTGCTTACTTATCATACAATGTGTCAGAAATATTTTTAGCGTGTGCCTGGCTCGGTTGCATAAGTGATTGTGAGTTCCCCTATAGGCACTTAAATCAATATAGATTCTATTTTGAGAGGTCTTTTCTTTGAGTCATTCTCTTGAGACTTTTGAATCACAAGGGCATACGTATACATTCACTCATTCACTTACTATTTCACTCATTTATTCACTTACTATTTCACTCATTCATTCACATACTATTTCACTCATTCATTCACTTACTATTTCACTCATTCATTCACATACTATTTCACTCATTCATTCACATACTATTTCACTCATTCTTTCACATACTATTTCACTCATTCATTCACTTACTATTTCACTCATTCATTCACATACTATTTCACTCATTTATTCACTTACTATTTCACTCATTCATTCACATACTATTTCACTCATTCATTCACTTACTATTTCACTCATTTATTCACTTACTATTTTACTCATTCATTCACTTACTATTTCACTCATTCATTCACTTACTATTTCACTCATTCATTCACTTACTATTTCACTCATTTATTCACTTACTATTTCACTCATTTATTCACTTACTATTTCACTCATTCATTCACATACTATTTCACTCATTCATTCACATACTATTTCAATCATTCGTTCACTTACTATTTCACTCATTCATTCACTTACTATTTCAATCATTCATTCACATACTATTTCACTCATTTATTCACATACTATTTCACTCATTCATTCACTTACTATTTCACTCATTCATTCACTTACTATTTCAATCATTCATTCACTTACTATTTCACTCATTCATTCACTTACTATTTCAATCATTCATTCACTTACTATTTCACTCATTCATTCAATCATAACAGTGACCATAAAGAAGCGTTTCAAATCTCACTCACTCACTCACTCTTGGAACCTAATGTAAACTCACTCACTCACTGTTGGAAGCTAACGTAAACTCATTCACTCACTGTTGGAAGCTAACGTAAACTCACTCACTCTACATCCAGATGGAGGGAGAGACGTGTCAGGCCAGGTATATGCACGGGATTATACCTGCCGGGTCATGTGACACAGGCTTGGTCTGCAAGGAGGGTCAAATGATGGCGTATGGCGCGGGCACCTGTGTCAAGGCCACGTCAAAGAGTAGGTTGGATGTTGGGATCTCCGTTTCAGTGTGCACGTGGTGTAGTGTGTGTCATGTCAACCCCAATGCGAACACTGGCCCTGCCACATGTGCTCGTAAATTCTCTCACATCACCTAGTCAGTTATTCCCATGGATGTCATAGAACTTACTTTGGGCTAACCTCATTCGAAAGCAAATTTATTTTATTTGAAATCATCTTTATATTTAACTTGTATTTTCCGCATGCTTGTCGAGGGCGGGATAGGGGCTTGGTCGGAGTTGTTGGGAGAGGTTCAATCTCATTAAAATCAGATCTTAGTTCTCGCTACCACTAAACAAAGATCCCATCCCATTACGGGTCACGTCAGACCGACCTTGCGCGAACTTTGACCGACCAATGGAATGACCAATCAGAAGGCAGCTTTCTCGTGCTTTACGGCACTAATTTCAAATTGGCGACTACGCTTCGAAACATATTTTGACAAATTCTCGATTACAAATTTGAAACCTGAACAAAAGGACATTCTGGAATGGCTAATAGATGGTCTAGATTGTATCGATTTAGTCGTTAAACCCGTAACTATCGTTCGGAATATCCCGTGTTAATGTTTTCGAGGTTGTATGATTAGAAATCCCATTCCGATTGTCACCTTCATGATCTGGTAAGTGACGCTCTGATTGGTCGGATGAAAGTTCTTTCTGACGTGACCCCTAATGGGATGTCCTCAGATCTTTGTTTAGCTGTAGCGAGAACTAAGGTCTGATTTTAATGAGATTGGGAGAGGTTTGTAAGGTTGGCTTTGCAAACTATTCCTATCTTAGCTTTGTGTATAAAACTGAATATAGTTTTGTTTTGGACTACGATTATGTATATCTTGTTGCAACTATATTTAGCTATTTAATAGACATGGTCATACGTATATATATTTGTATATATTTACATCTGCACATTTGTCACTTGGTGATGAGGATGTAAGGGTCTCACAGGCCAGAGACAGAGATTGGTAGTCCCAACACTGTTTGATCCATTTCGTTTAGCTAGGCCTGTCAACACCATGCCGGTGCTCGTGAGTTTCATAGACTTCATTATAATGCCTCAAAGTGAGATTGACCTATTTGAGAGCAGAATTGCAAACCCCATATGAGCCCGTATACCGTCAGTAAAAATCCAAGATGGTTGTTACTGAACCAATATGAGACCGTATGCCGTCAGTAACAGCCGTTTTGGATTTTCCAACACCCACCTCACATATATCACATGAACATCCTGAAAATTCTGGTCGTTACTCGACACTGTTTTGTGTTTTAATATCGTTAATTTTTATGTGCAAGGACGTTTTTGGTTTTTGGATCACGTTCGTGACTTAAGATTAAATAAAGTTAAAATTATCAACAAGGTTTGAAGAGTAGTCTCCCTTTGACCCTTAACGTCTTAGGTTGTACGCGTTAAGTTTTGAGTTTTAAGATTTTACATGACATGTGCGACAAAGAAACCAAATAGTGGAAACTTTTCGGCACAAAAAATTCGTTATCGTGTCTAAAGGTGCCGTATACGGTGTCATAGGTAAGCTCGCCCAATATTTAGAAAGTCGTGAAAATATCAACTTTCAATTTGTCAGGCTACACAGCGAAACTAATGTGTTCAATGAGTACAATGTGTACATTCGTGGTGTACTCTGGAATACTGCAAAACAAGCGGCATAAAACTCTAGTCACTTAGACACTCTGTGCCAGCTGCAGTTCTTGCCGTTGCGTTCCTTTTACCGCTTGTATATTTTGGTTCATAAAGGCTAAGAATAGTATGTCTATCTACTCAAGTTTGTTTGTTTGTTGTTTAACGCCGCACCCAGCAATATTCCAGCTAGACGGCGGCGGTCTGTAAATAATTGAGTCTGGACAAAACAATCCTGTGATTGCCATCATGAGCATCGATCCACCCGATCCAGTTAGTCGCCTCTTACAAAAAGCATTGTCACCTTTTACGGCAAGCATCTTCTATTCCTGATCTAAACGGTTCCTATCTACACAAGACTAATGAGTAGACTATGGAGTAGATGATACAAGATGCGAGTAGATATGTGCCAGAGCATACAAGCACATTGCAGTACACTTGGTTTGGGTCAAAAAGTGGATTTGTCGGTTTGCTGCGTAATGCTACAAGAAAACCAAGCAGGAAAGAAACGTGTACCGCAAGCAGCTGTCGGAGTCCTGGTCTGCATTGCTTATCAACGTACACATGCCTATCCCACGTTGGCAGTAGGCCACTTCAATGAAACCTGCAGTCTAACTGCAACCATACCATTCGGAGACTTCATTATAAATGTAGTTGGCGGAATTTAATAAATTTGAGCACTAAGAATATTATTTCCTTTACTGACATATTGCTGTGGCGTTAAAACAAACAGAACTAAAAAAAGATTTGCATCAAACACATAGACCGAAAGCCCAAATCCTTCCTTGCTCCGCCTACCCCGTAGTACAAAAGACGTGTCGAGGACAGGATCCAGTATTTGACACGACGATGATACGTCTAGCAGCGTTCCTGACGGCCGTAGTGACGGCGGGAGCTTATGTGTGTACCCCTGACATGTGTGTGGGGATAGAGAAGGCCCCTCTTACATGCCCGGGGTCGGTCATCAAGGGCGGCGGGTTCTGCGGATGTACCGACTCCTGTGCCAAGGTATAGTGGGGATGATTGTGTGGGTTGCTTAAACGCAGCCTTCATCACGAATTCTATAACATGACATTGAAGAATATATGATTCTGATTGGGCAAAGCGGGATTAAAGGAGGTATCAAAATCCATACTGGTTTCAAACACGACAACAGAACAAAGGTTGCTTCAGAGATGAAAGTATTGTCATTTGTAGATTTCAAAAAAGCTTAGATAGAAATTTTTTTTTGTTCAGTTTTGTTTACTTTCTTCATTACTGAGCTCGGCACAGAGATATATAATAAATGACATTATGGTGTAGCGTAGGGTGGGGGATATATACTGAACCAAATTAAAAACTTCACAATTCTAAAATTTTAACATTTTGACCAGTTAACATTGTGGGCCCTTATTGTGTATTTAAACAGTAATGGCCACGTATTGTCTTCAGATAACACCCGTTTTTGTGCAGGTGAATCGATCAAAATCATGTGCACAGCACTATAGAGGCAAAAGTGGTTTTTCACGTGCAACTGGTCACGTGGTCATAATACCGCAAGTGTTTTCAGCCATACTTGTTAGCAGTCATTAACAAAAAAAGAAAAACACAAAAAAACAAAAGTCTTTACGGCCATTTGTCATGCCACGCCTTTCAAATGTGCAACGTGAACGTGCCATTGGCATGTTGCAGACGGGAACGTCCGTAGCTGAAGTCGCAAGGACGATGGGTTGTAGTCGAAGGACTGTTTATGATTTACAGACGTGTCTACAGCAAACGGGTACCACCACTGATCGCCCTCGGCCAGGTCGACTACGTGTGACGTCACATGCAGAGGATCGTCAGATTGTCTTACGTCACCTCCGTAACCGATTTTTGACGGCTACATCAACCAGAAATGAACTGTTTAGGGGTAGACTGAGTGCGCAAACTGTTCGAAACCGTCTGAGAACTGCTCACCTTCAAGCACGACGGCCATACTGCGGGCCGATTCTAACTCAATTAGACAGACGTCAACGTCAATTGTGGGCACAGCGACACTTACGATGGACTCAGAGGAATTGGAATCAAGTCGTCTTTCAGTGATGAATCCCGATTTAATCTTCGATTTGCTGATGGTAGGGCGAGGGTGTGGAGGCGCCGCCATGAACGTTACGCCCAGTGTTGTGTACAGGTGTTGACAGATTTCGAGGCGGAAGTGTCATGGTGTGGGGTGCTTTCTGTGGCAATGCACGTTCCAGGCTTCTTGTCATCCGTGGCAACCTCAACGCTGCTGCTTACCGCGACCAGGTACTGGCACCAGAACTTCTGCCTTTTATGGCAGCACATGGACCCGGTTTGATCTTCCAACACGACAATGCCAGACCCCACACAGCAATTTTGACAAGGAAATTCCTTCAGAATGCGGGAGTCAACGTCATGGACTGGCCGTCAAGGTCTCCCGACCTCAATCCCATCGAACACGTCTGGGATGCTCTTGGCAGAAGTCTGCGCACTCTCCAGAACCAACCACAGAATTTGCAAGATCTTGTCACCATTTTGCAGCAACAATTGCGTCGTCTTCCCAATCATGTGTTCACAAGCATCACAAGGTCCATGCGGAGGCGTTGTGTGGCAGTTGTCAACGCACATGGTGGCCATACACGCTACTGAACTTGTGTGCAATCAGATTCTCGTGCTTGGGACTTATGATTTAAACTGTTGATGTTATTACCGAATACCGTAGGTGCTTGAAACAAATTATGGTTACCACCGTTAATTAAAATCCTTCTTTGGACATTAATGATTCAAAATTACCTTCTCTGATACATTTGTCCGTTGTATATCATATATGGGATTACTTTTAAAAATGTGAAGTTTTTAATTTGACTCAGTATATATTACAATAAGAGCTCAGCTCAACACATACTTGCAATATAAACTCAGTGTATGAAAACGTGACAAAATCTGAACGCAGACAAAACACTTGCTTCAAAACATAACATACCTTATAACATACCTTATATAAATATAAGGTATGTTATAAGGCATGTTATGTTATGAAGCAAAATATCATGATACCATGAGGCAATTGCTGAAGAATCTTGACGTTGGTCGACTTGATCTTGAATGTTGGTTGTATGGCTGAAAGTTGACAAACTCACATGATTACATGAATATTGCCAGTTAACGTTGACGATTATTGTCACTTCTTTGAGGGGCATTTAGAAGTTGGAGTACTAAGTAAGAATAATATATATGTATGATCAACTTTTTTATTACAATTATGAACGACGTTTTGGTGTAGGTTCTAACACCGTCATCATAACACCGGGACCGGGTGGCCAATGTGTTCCCGGTGAGGAGACCTGCTCTGTCACCTGCACATAGGCAGGACGTCGGACGGCGATTCTTCATCCACGTATATGTGGTGGTGGTGGAATGGGGTTTAACGTCGCGTTCAAGATTATTGCACTTATATAGCGACGTGCATGTACGTGTGTGTGTTTGTGTGGCTGCTTGTACTAGTCCGGACTGATGCCGATTTATAGTGCTAGCTCACTGAGATACCATGCCGCAGTTTAACATGAATACCCCACTCAGACACAGTATACTGACTCCGAGCCGACCAGTCCTTGTTTTAGCCCCTTAATGCCGAGCGCCAGACAGGGTAACAACAAGTACCATCTTTTAACGTCTTTTGGTATGACGCGGCCGGGGATCGAACCCCGGACTTTCTGCTCTCCGGGCGGACGCTCTACCTCTAGACCACGGAGGCGGTCTTCCACGTATATGTACATTCATTAGATCCGATGACGTGAGGAAGTGTTAATTGCCATTTATAAAAAGCGCTGGAGAATACGAGTCTTGCCCCGAGGGGGTTCATTATTAGAAGGGATACGCCGACTGTTTTTTCTGTATAGACAGACAAAAGGAGATGAAACTGATATTGCCAGAGAAAATTGAGGACGATTTCGTCAAATTCAAAAAGTGATTAGTAACGGGGTATGAAACATAGGTCTACCACAATGATCCCGAGTCAAAACCTCAATCCATGGAATGGCATCATTCCACTTCTCCGGCACCAAAGAAATTGCTCTTCAAGATCTGTGAAGAAAGTGAGGACCACTGTATTTCAGGGATGCAAAGGGTGTGATCCTTGTTGATTACTTAGAAAGTCAAAAGACAATTACTGGTGCCTAGTATGATGATTTGCTTTATCGCATGAGAGATTCTGTCAAAGAAAGGCGGCGCGGAATGCTGACTGCTGTTGTACACCTTCATGACAATGCCTCTTCTCACATCTTTAGACTTGAAATGGCTGCTGTGCGACAATGTGGGGTCGAAGGGCTTACCAACCCTCCATACTCGCCAGACCTGGCACCAAGTGATTTCCACCTGTTTCCAAAACTGAAAGAACACCTTCGTGGAAAGCGCATTGACGACAACGCTGACCTCAAAGATGCCGTGAATGGTTGTTTAAGGGTAGCTTCAGAAAACTTCTACCTGACAGGAATTGAAAAGCTTCACTATCGATATGAGAAGTGTATTGAAAAGCAGGGAGATTATGTTAAAAAAATAAAATTGAAAACACTTTCACAATTGTAGGTTTTGTTTGTTGAAAGTTGAAATCTGTAGAAACTGCCAATTAGGACTGATTGAGGATGGATTTCATGTTTTATTAGTACGTAATAAGTATGAACATCTTAGAGAAAGGCATTTTTCGAAATTTAACAATATGCATGAAAAGAAGATGTTAATGATCAGTCTTTAAAAATCCAACAACTCTGCTGTTATACGCTCAATAGCCATATTGTTGAAATATCTTCTCTCTCAGATAGCTTCTGTATACCATGTATACCACGTGACTAAACAAATGAAACTACAATGTCAGCCGTACACGGGAAATGTGGCCGTAAATACCGAATAAAATGTCTGTCTCTCTGAATTGTCGTTAACGACCAGCATCCTGATGCCACTGACATACCTGTTTCCCCATCCAGGTGGAGGGAGACGCGTGCACGAAATCCCCCTTCTTGCAGGGGATAATCCCCTACGACCACTGTGACTCCGGCCTCGAGTGTCAGTCCGCCAATGATGGGATGTGGGAAATTTTTGGGAAAGGCAAATGTTTGAAGGTCACAAAAAGCAAACGTTTTGTTTTATCAGGTAAGCAAATGTAAAAGATGAACTCTTCCCTGTCCCAAATGAGTGGACGCGTCTGACAATCCTTTGATCAGGTGTTACTTTTTCAAGATTGTAGTCTACATATACGTATGCTCATGTAGCAACCGTACTCAACTACACTGGCTCCAGATCGTTAAGGACCCATGAAGATCCGGGGTAGAACACGTATTCAGCAACCCATGCTTGCCGTAAAAAGTGATTATGCTTGTCGTAAGAAGCGACTAACGGGATCGGGTAGTCAGGCTCGCTGACTTGGTTGATGCATATCATCGATCCCAATTGCGTAGATTGATGTCCATGATGTCAATCACTGGATTGTCTGGTCCCGACTTGATTATTTACAGACCGCCGTCATATAGCTGGGATATTGCTGAGTGCGGCGTTAAACAACAAACCAACCAACCAGATCGTAAAGCGCATGGAGCTGCAAATACATGTGCTGCTGACCAGGGAACGTTATGGTATTGATCCACACAACATCAGCGAGCTGATACAGCACCATCAACCAGTGAGATCACTTTGACCTAGTACCAGAGAGAAGTGACCCGTGAAAATCTGGGTTAGAATTGGTCTTCAGCAACCCCTGCTTGTCATAAGAGGCCACTAGCGGGATCGGGTTGTCAGCCTCGCTGACTTGGTTGATGCATGTCATCGTTTCCCAACTGCGGGGATCGATGCTCACTGGATTGTCTGGTCCAGACTCGATTATTTACGGACCGCCGTCACATAGCTGGAATATTGCTGTGTGCGGCGTAAAACAACAAACAAAACAGACCAGAGCTAAGTCATTTGGCGGCCGACATTTTGAAGAGGCCGGTCATATACATTGGGACAGCATTGCCATGGACGTCAAGTGTGCCAACGACATCAATGAAATCAATGGACAAATAAACACATATGTTCCAATCCACCTGATGGCTCTCACTGATTCGCTTGTAAAAGCTCCTTCGACAGCTTTTGGGGTGACAATAGTCTCGCTATATACCGAAAATAATCGACTCATCTTCAGACACCACAGAGACTGAAAGTACCAGCAACGATCCAACGATGACACGCAATAATTTAAGTCACATAGTCTGACATCCAATCCCCAATTCGTCGGGTCGTACAAACATTGGCGCTGCACTGTGAAAATTATGTTCAGATTCTAAACACATACCTCAACACGTTCTTTGTCTCATAAATTTGACGCGGTTAGATCTAAACATGTTTAGGGTCTAAATATGCGAACGCCTTGTCTTTCTATGGGGTTTAACATAGTATTCAATATTATTGCTCTTGAATAGCGACGTGCATGCACGTGTGAATGTGTGGCTACTTGTACTAGTCTGGACTAATGCCTATTCTGTAGTGCTGGCCCACTGAGATACCATGCGGCAGTTTAACATGAATTTCACTCAGACACAGTATTCGGACTCCGAGCCGACCAGTCCTTGTTTTATCACCCTAATGCTGAGTAAACGTTTTAATGTCCTTTGGTACGACGCGGCCGGGAATCGAACCCCCGACATTCCGCTCTTCGGACTGACGCTATATCCACTAGGCCACGGAGTCAGTCTAATATTGTATCCAAGTTCGTTGGAAGTTGTGGTGGCATATACATTACGTAAGAGCCTTTGACTCTAATCTGCAATCTAATCTCAATATATATTAATGGCCGATAATTGAATTTTATAGGATTGAATTGACTTTGCATGTGTTTGTGACTGATGCCACCGGTGGGGCAGGATACGCTCATCTTTTCGCCCACATCTTGTATCATCACTATTTGAAAATCGTTCATAAATACTTAAGGATTGACTGTGGATTATTTTCAAACGTTTGCACATCAGTTCTTCGATTAATACCGCAATGAACCGAAGAAAATCCCTACTGTCAATCCTTCATATTCAATTCGACAACGAAAACATGTGTTATCTACAATAGTTTAACCAAAAATAGTTGTATATGTCAAAGCAGACATGACGCGATTGATAAACCTTCCAGGTGTAGGAATACATACTGTGGCGTGACATGTATAAGGTGATTGTTTAATTAATGCACATAACTTGACACGCCAACAAAGTCAGTAGCCAATCAACGGAGAGTAGAATCAAAACAAAGTCCATAGGACCTGTCAACCAAGGCAAGAGGCGAGAAGAACTGCAACAGTCAGACTGTAACGAACCGAATGAAATATGTCCGGGAGTAGGCGGCTGTTTCAAATGGCGGCCAGTTACCGCCAGATTCAAACATTAGTTCCCTGAGAACGGAAAGACACAGATGGAAAAACGCGGGTGAGAAATGAAACCCGAAGACATGAAATTTGTGAAACCCAGACGAGCGAGCCTGCACGTTTGCTGTTTCATTCCTTCTCGGCCTTCGGTCTTAAAGGGTTTTATGGACAATGAAAATGCATGAATTTCACCAAAGGTCCTATGCATGACGATACAGTTGAGCAGAAAGGGAATTTCCTCGACTGTAATATTTGGATTCCCCAACATTCCGTAGTAATACATTTTTTTGTTTACTTTCATTGGGAATTATACAATGACCATATTTGGTGCTGGGTGCAGAATAAAACGGCTCCACTAATGGTGGTTGTATTTAACACTGCAGTAATTGAGCTTCAAGAACGCAGTAAGCGAATCTTCACCAGGCAGAGCTCGACCCACGACATCTTTGTTAGTTGTATGTTGTTTTACGTTTTATGACGGGAACCTGAAAATAATGGAGACTGGACCAGACCGTAAACGCCATCAACAACGTCACCGAGCCTGACCGCTCCATCCGCGCCGCCGCCTCGTGCGACAATCAACTTGCTATGGACGTTTCTAACCCGGAATGCCAATAACGGTATATGGTCCATACCGGCCAGGCGCTCTTTTGTTACCGGGAAAGAAACTCTCAGGTCTTTAATTAGCCCGAGGAATGTCTTCTTTTTGCAGTTAGTCTGTAACTGTTACACTTATACAGATCTTATACATTGCCAGTGTTTAAAATACCCGCCTGCCTGAGAGTCCGAGACGGCCTGTTTTGCCGACGGACGGTCAGTTTTGAAATGTTTTGAGTTAAAGTTACTAAGATGATCACACCCATATATTGAGAACTAACATTTAGCAGTACTATTCACATTTAAACCATGGCTCCTTTGTCTTTCACCGTGGTCTAACAAACTGAATTGTTAGTTAAACACCCCCTATCATTTGTCTTGATGATAGAACAATTTCATGAAAAATGTTTGTCGCCAGCGGGATTCGAACCCGCGAAGTCCGCACTGAAGGCTAACGAATGTAGTCTTCTGCCACGGCGACATGGGGAAAGGGTATGAAATTAACAACTAAATATTTACTTACATAAGTACCAATTGCTTATCCCTTTATGAACTGCGAAATGTGTTTTATGCAATTTTTATACAGTATGTTACTCTATGCATTCTAGTATTTATACAGTACTTGTGATTTTGTACTTTTCGTTCAACGAAACGAACAGATAGAAAAGAAATTACTATTATCATGATCAGGGCTATATTTGCTCATAATAGGCCCATCAACATGGGCAAGTAATATTGAGTTGATTGATAATGTGCTCGAGTTGGTCCAAGACGAATGGTATACTTGCCCCGGGACGTGCATTTCATAACCCAAAACGGCAAAGTGCGAGATGCACCTGCGAAAGGCTCGGGGAACGACTCACACAGTGTTCTCACAGTTGACCATAGAGTTCCTGAATATCTTTCAAAATACCTTTAACAAAACAATGGTTTTTTAAGCATTTTATGTGCCATAAATGTTGGACATGGTTTAAGTATGTTAGACCACTCTGACCCCAGTGTCTAATCGTTGAAATGGTTGTTTAAACCACGAGGCGCTGCGCCACTTCAACGATTAGACACTGGGACCTCGTGGTCTAACCCATATATTACCCTTTAGTTAATGTTTTCGTTAGTCTTGAAAATTCATTTTATCTGGTCTAGTAACATTGTAACATTGCCAGTCCGGTTGTCTGACTGAAACTTGGGGGGATTCTATACACTGAGTCATTGCGTTCGCAAAGTCGTGTTCGAAAGACTAAAACCAAATTTGCTTTGACCGTTTTTCATAGGGTTATATCAATACCAAATGTTAAGAAAGTGCTATTATTCCCAGGTATTACCACGTGTGAGAGGATGAAGATCAAGGCCATGACGTCACAGGTTACATACTCGGACAAGTGGACGCCAAAGTGCGACGCCAACGGGGCCTTTGAGCCCATGCAGTGCGACGTAGCAGGTACGGCAGAACGACGTCAGTCTATAACAGCACCTACATTGACGCTGTTATCCTTATATAGTAAATTATTGCATGAAGGGAGTTAGATCGTTTGGTTTAACGACGCTATAAATAGTGTTTCAGTTATCTAACGACGTGTCAACTTAATTTGGGAGACATCTTAGTGCCGTAGGTCGGAGATGTTTCCCACTTCGTTGACACCGACGTGTCGTACCAAGCCTCAGAACCAAATCTCACAACCTACACGGGGAATCAGTCTTTGAAATTCACGCTGCCCACTTGCTGAGGACAAGTACAAATCAATAATAATAGTCCTCAGAGACAGCAGCATTTGAGGGCAAAAGTCTCAATGCTTGAATTTTGCAACAAATTTGAACTGAATAAAACTTACAGAAAATCTAATCATAGTAAACTACAAACTCTGAGAAAGTAGACACAATTTATGGATAACTTCTTTAAAACTGTAAAGGCTACGTTTCGGTATAGATCCTTACACGGTTGTCAAGCAGGACTTCTCTGAGGACCAGTGAATTACTGGGGTTTACAGTAGTCCTCTGGACTAATCTTAAAATAATCTAATTTCTTAAGCTGGGAATTGAGGCGGCTTTGGAAACCTCTGACTCCTATGCGTGGAAAATGGTTTACTAAAAGATATTATTGACTTGAAAACATTAATCGATCTTGACATATGTCGCTATCTGCACAATATTTTGCAATGAAAGTATAATGACAGTTTTTGTGGTGACTGCCACACTCCACAATATTCCAGCTATATAACGGTAAAAAATCGTCTTAGGTTCAGACAACACAGCGACTGAAAGCACCAGTTGTCATCCACGTGATCGGGGTAATTGCACAAGTTCGCCAAGCTTGTGTTTCTAGGTTTGGGAGAACCATCCCCGTGCTCGTGGGTTTCACCAAAGTGGTAAACATCTGAGACCTGCATCACTTCGGGCTTTCCTCCCACATTATGCTGATGCGTCGTGATATACTAGTAACTTGAATACTGTTCAAAGCAACGTTAACCCCAACTCACTCAGTCATTCACGTGACACTCATTCACGTGTCTGGCTGCCCTATCAACAGATTAGTCGGCTTGTACAAACATTGGGTAAATATATTTTTATTTCCCCATAATATGAAGATTTCAGCATATAGTATGACCTGTTATTACACACGAGTTGTCTCAATAGTTGTGGACAGCAACAGTAGCAGTATATATATCATTGTTATAACAGCGACGCCCACTTTCTTCTTGTGCAACATATGGTGAGAATCATCTGATGCCAAACATAGAAATGTAACTTTGATTCACACTGAGCAGGTATACCCCAAGCACTAGAGATAAGAATTGGTCATCTTCATCTTCATCTTCCCACAGTTCAAATATGTTAACACGTTAATCACAAACTCTTTTCAAAAGGTGTCTGTTTCCTGGGGATTGATTTGACATGACATAAACACAAGCTAAACGATATCATCGGCAAATGTGCCACATTGGCCGTCTTTAGACTGTAAAGAGGACGGCCATATGGAAGTAAGTCTAGCAATGTCAGCAAAGTGAAGTAATCCGGCAAGTTTCCGTCACCTCTGTGCAGTACCGGATCTGATGGCATCTACCCGAGGGAAGGGAGTAAATTGATGTGGAAACTGGACTTTCACAGTCAGATAACTCCCTTGCCTCGGCAAGATGGAGATGCATCTAAACAGTGATGCTCTGGTCCAGAGTTCTCTTTCTGTTGAAACAGGGACAAGTGTTTATAAACAATATCGAGACCTGTAGGCACTTTCACCCGAGAAACTACAATATCCTACATGACGGTGTTCGTAATCAACACACACTGACAAAATTCTCAAGGTATGCATTGACAGTTTCGACAGTAATTTCGTTTGAATGTTTCAGGTCGTTGCTTCTGCGTTAACTCGGATGGTCAGATTCAAGGTAGCAGGGTCGATGGAAAGGTCACCTGCCCAAGCATTTGAACCCACCGAGTCGCACTTAGAGTGCGCGATACTTGATACGGAGCAATGATATCCAGGGTCATTTGAATTTTTCGACAATTTCAATTAAAATGACCTCGACATGAATCAATTAAAAGTGTACTCAAAGGTATGCAATTGTTAATATGTTAATATGACATCATTATTAATTACAGAAAGAGAGAGAGAGAGAGAGAGAGAGAGAGAGAGAGAGAGAGAGAGAGAGAGAGAGAGAGAGAGAGAGAGATTTATTTTGTTGATTTGGCTTTTAGGTTGATGGTGATTTTTGTGTGTGGGTATATACGACCTCGAAGGCCAGTTTTCACCAGGAAGATACCTTAAGGTTTTTGTGTTGTTTAATGGCTTAAGGAGCGTTTGTAATGTTAGGTGTGTGTTCATGTCCAGTGTGCTCTGAAGCATCATTCTGCATCGTTTGTAGTGCGAATTGTGTAATAGGACGTGTTCAGGTGTTTCTGTTTGGTTGCAACGTGTGACTTTGCCCGTTTGGTGTTTATGGTTATGTTGGTAAGATTTTAGTTTCTTTGTGTCGCCGATTTGTAGTTTGGTTACTGTCCTGTCGATATTTTCAGGTTAACGGTAGAGTTTTATTTTTTGTAGTGGCTTTTGGAATATCTGTTTTAGTTTAGAATTTGAACTTTGGTAATTAGTATGCCACTGTTGGATATATTTTTGTTTTGGGAAACTTTTTTTCTCGCATTTAGATATAGGTAGGATTAAGCTAAGTTTTAATAGGTTGAGGGCCGCTTTTGCTGCTTGGTCGGCGTGTTCGTTACCGAACACGCTCACGTGGGCAGGGATCCAGATGGACTCTACTTGTTTGCCTAGGGTATTTAGTTGGTGTGTGCTTTTCAGTATTTGTTTTATTAGTGAAGGTCGGTTTTTGTCATTTTTGTGTTTAAGTACTGAGAGTCCGCTGAGCCAGTCCGTTAGTACAAGGATTTTATCATGTTGTTTGATGAGCGGCTTGTGTAATGCAGTAGCGTGCCCATCAGCTCGCCTGTAAAGACCGATTGCTTGTCTGGGAGCCTATATGATTTAGATTGCCTAATTGGTTGAGATATATGGATGCAGAGTCCTGGTCGGAAGACACGTCTGTGAAGATGTGGCACCAATTTGGCTAATGTTCATGTATGTATGTATGCAAGTGTAGTGGTTTTGACGGTGTTTGTGTTTTGTTTTTAGTTATTTTAAAGGAGAGTGATGTTGTATTTTAGAAGTTTCTAATTCAGGTGTGAAAATGTTACAGGGTTTGGTGTTTTGTTTTAGCTTATTTAGGTTGGGATTAGTTATGTAGTTTAATATGCGTTGTGATGTTGGGGTTGTGATAGGCGAGCAAGCGCTTGGAGTCTTGGACATATGTTGGTATTTTTTGCTTTTCTGGATTAAGATTTCTGTGTAGGCGGATGCACGGTAGTGCTCGCTGCCGCTAAACAAAGATCTGAGGTCATCCCATTACGGGTCACGTCAGAACGACCTTTCGCGAACTTTGACCGATCACTGAAACGACTAACAAGATGTCGACATCAGCCAATAAGAAAGCAGCTTTCTCGACCTTACGGCACTCGTTTCAACCTGGTGACCTCCATTTCAGACTACGCTTGAAAAATATGTTGAAACAGTTCTTGATTAAAATTTTGAAAACTGAACAAACGAACATTCCGGATTTGTCTAATATATGGCAGTGCATCCCACGTACTGTGCAACGCCTCCTCCGTTTAAATATTTATCCCACGGAAGCGAGAGATAGACGATAATTTTGACGGAATCAGTCGTACGGGCCGTAACTGTCGTTCGGAATACCCCGTGTTAACGTTTTCGAGGTTGCATGATTAGAAAACACATTCCTACTGTCACTTTCATGATCTGGTAAGCGACGCTTTGATTGGTCGGATGAAAGGTCATTCTGACGTGACCCGTAATGGGATGTCCTCAGATCTTTGTTTAGCTATAGCGAGAAAATAGATCTGATTTTAATGAGATTGGTGTATTATTTAATGTGTTGTTAAGAGTATTATAAATTACCCGGCTCCCAGAAACATGTATCAAGAAATATTTTGTATTTCCTAAATCTGGGGACAGATGCCAGTTTCTACATTCATATTAATTCTAAATGTCATCTAATGCACAAATTGCCTACGGCTGCCCAAATAAGACGTCCTAGGCACTTCCCGTTTAATTACATAATTTCCGCATTTAGGAAACATATACACTGCAGTACAACTTGGAAACATGCATGAAGCTGCGGCGGCGGTCACATTACAAGAGGCTGTTTGATTAAAGGAAAATCTGCTTCAACAATAATCGCCTCATGTCGCCTTTATGTAAACTAACGGTACAGGAAGGACAACACTTTCAATAACAACACCAGCTGTGGAATATTTGTCGCGTCGCATAACCCTATCTCTAGTCTATTGACAAGTGGCGTAGACTGTTACGATGCCACGCTCGTATTAAAGAAATTGTTCTATAGAACCAAGGAGAGCATTTCCCCTTCTTCAGTCAATGAAATTCGATTTTTAAAGACTAATATCGAGAACTAGTGTAAACCTTTCCTAAAGTAGTGTCGGAAATACTAGAAAAATGTTTTTCTGGCATCATTTATTAAATACGAATCACAGGCCTATGAAAATAGCATTTATCAAAAAAACGTATATCTAGTCTATCCTAAATGGCACTGTGATTAGCCTTAAAAAAGTACTTTTACCGGTAAAATGATGATAAATTCAGAAAATATTCATGTGTTGTCATACATGTAAACATAGCGACAAAAACTTTTTCATATCCAATAGAAATCGCTACATAAGGCCGAGTCAATAGTACGATTCCGACTATGTGTTTTTTATGAATCACTATCAAATGGTGATGATTCCAGGTGTATTCGAAAAGGTGAGCATATCAGAAACGGCATGTAGCATGAGGTATTTACCTAACACCTGTCCCGATGTGATGACCTCACACTGACCCGTGCATTCTCGTCACCACCCGGAGCGTCCAACTTTGATAGGACAACAAGCAGTAGACCGTAGAACAAAAGGAAGATTTGTCATAGTCAGTTTCTGGTGACGGTGCTCTCCCTGAAGGCACGTGCTAATGAATGAGTGAAATGAGGAAATCTCAATTGAGAGGGGATTTATTATTACCGCTGAGTGAGAAAACCCCATTTAACAATAAAATATATCACACAATGATTCTCATGCATGTCCCAGGACAAGATATGAAACTCACCATGACAACATGTTTAAATATTTATTCAGGATCTTGGTCATCCTAAAATGGATTATAATGATCTTTCTAAATTTTTCAGAATAACTATCGACCATATGAATACACAAGAGACAAAACAAAAAATTGAAAGTTTATTTTTTTCGACCACCAAGAAATCTGCATAAAAAAACGGAGTAGATTGTCCGATTCCGACTATATCATGAGCAAGTGTTTATGGTGAGGTGAAATGGGATTTAACGGCGCGTCCAAGATTATTGTCCTTATATAGCGACGTGCATGCACGTGTGTGTGTGGCTGCTTGTACGAGACCGGATTGATGCCGATTTATAGTGCTAGCTCACTGAGATACCATGCCGCAGTATACTGACTCCGAGCCGACCAGTCCTTGTTTTAGCCCCTTAATGCCGAGCGCCAGACAGGGTAACAACAAGTACCATCTTTTAACGTCTTTTGGTATGACGCGGCCGGGGATCGAACTCCGGGCGGACGCTCTACCGCTAGACCACGGAGGAGGTAGCAAGTGTTTATGAAACACTATCAAATAGTGATGATACAAGGTGTTCGCAAAAAGGTGAGCGTATCCTGCCCCACCGGTGGCACCCGTCACAAAGACATGCAAAGGCAAGCCAATTGGTCACCTGAATAAACACGGAAACATATGTTTCATGTCAAAATAGGGAATTGCATCGGACCTTATTTCTGTCACTGATGCGTCAAAATTGGATATGCCCTCTACGTCTACAGATCATATACTTTATAAAAGTACCAGTGGATGAGTGAGTATGGTTTTACAACGCTTTTTGCAATATTTCCAGCAATATCACGGCGGCAGAAATCACATATTCACACATTGAACCCATGTGGGGAATCAAAACCGGGACTTCGGCGTGACGTGAGAACGCTTTTACCACTATGCTACCCCAGCGTCATCATAAAAGTACCAGAGATGCCTACTTGTCAAATAATGTTTCAGCATTCACCAGAACAATTACCTTGCATAATAGCGCACGATTAAGAAAGGAGTCTACTCGTCTGAAGAATACTTTTACAAAAAAGCATGTTGTTCCTGGAGAGTGGCTGGTAGTTTCCCGGGTGGTAAAACTAACGGCCTGTCAAACATTAAGACCAGTGGGGATTCTTGTTAGTATGGGTCCCCAGCAACCTATGCTGGTGATAATGGATAATGGACATAATGGATCGTCTAGTGACGTCAACAACACGTTTACGGTCTTATGGCCTTACGTACAGATGCCACAACAGCAATAATTATTACCTATATATACAAGAAGTGCTTTTCATGCAAATATCAAGTAGGGATTCCGCGTTATAATGTCCCCAGCAACACAACTTGTCGTCAGGATCGGGTGACCAGGCTCAGTGACTGGTCGACTGTGTGCCATCGTCACTCACAATACCGATCACTAGATTGACTAGTTATTTACAGACCGCCCTTTCAAGTGAGTGAGTATGGTTTTACGCGGCGTGTAGCAATATTCCAGCAATATCACGGCAGTGCACAACATACATGTGCTTCACACAACGTACACATGTGGGGAATCGAACCAGGGTCTTGGGAGTGACGAGCGAACGCCTTAACCAGCGTTAGCAGCATTAAACCACAAACAAACAACATTAAGGTAACAGTGTGTCCATGTAGAATTTATATATATCCTGAACTATCAAGGAGAGATACCATGTAAATGGCTTGTCACATCATGTATTCTCCAAACATTACGATATGTCATGAGTTTCATTAAAAATGTGGCACAAATCAATGCTCCGATATTTCATTAAATAGGACCAGTTTCCATACATTTCAATCCATGACCATCACTCTATGTTGTTCTTCATCTTTGTAAGCCTGTCCAGCAGCCACTCCACAGTAACAAACCACAACGTGTTGGGTCTGAAAATACCCCTCGCTATCCACCCCATGTCCTGCCTGGCCGAGATGACGTGCAGATGCAGGTGACTGATGCTATGAAATGGCGGCCAGTGAAATCCCATCAACGCATCTGACACCTGTCCACCGTTCTCTTCCAAAACACGATTCCCTACGGAGACCAACGTGTTGACGAGTTGGATGTCGTCTGCTCCCAGACTCTTTGCATCGGTCTTGTGGCTTTTCGGGACGACAAGATAATGATGCGACGTCGCAGGTTTCCTGTCCTTGAAAACAACGATTTCATCATCCTGAAACAGTATTGTTGTCTTGGGGTCATCTCCTTTGGCAATTTTGCAAAATATACATCTGTGAGATGACATGACGCGGTGTTGTTTACTTTTGTCAGATGCACTTCGCTTCGCCTCACTTCCTGGATATTTGTTATTACCCCCCTTTCCTAGGGAAAGATAACTCTAAAACCTTGATTTTTTCAACTGCTTTCAAAACCAAATCTTCATTTGTAAGTTCGTATCTGATTAAGACGGAGTTGTTTGTTTTTATTTTTAAAAAAACATGATTTGCGTAAAATAATTTTGCTAATATCATCTTGGCTATTAACATTAATTTTGAAATAAAAATTAGAAGTTAACGCTTTCCACTGGGAACTTTTTCGTAATGACATTTAGTCAGCTCGAAACAGCTGGGAAACGTTTGAATAACATCGATCGACCTGATGTCAGTAAACATTCAATGTGTTCCATGTACCGACTGTTGAATGACCCCATTTTTAGCGTACTAGGCGATTTGTGTAGGTGATCGGGTAGCCGCGACGCCGTACGTATGTCGGCTACCCCTCTGCTTTCACAACCCGACATCCACTGGTCGCTCTTACAGAGTTCTTACATACCAATGTTTGTGTATATCAGATATTGCCCCCGTGCGATTCCGAGTTAGAACAGGTCCCCAGCAACCTTTGCTGGTCGCAAGAGGCGACCAACTGGGGGATCAGATTCGGTGACTTGGTTGATTGAGTGTCCTCACGCACATACCCCTACGACGTAGATCGAATTACAGTACACTACGGTTATAACGAACTCAAAGGGACTACTATTTTCAGTTCGTTATAACCGTAGTTCGTTATAAGCATATATACAGCATAACTACAGCAAATAGTCGGGACTAAAAAGTTAGTTCGTTATATCCGTCAGTTCGTTATAAGCGTGTTCGTTATAACCGTAGTTTACGGTAGTCTTTTTTATCTCGGCTTAGGAATAATAATTTATATTCAAAAGAAAACTACATTTGGATTTTCAAATCCTTGATATTGATATATTGATTTTTTTCAAAAACACTTGTGAGATTTGCATGGCTATGTTAGTAGCGGGGTAACACTTGTTCAAACAGCACTGTTCCAGTTGTATCGTCATAAGGTACAATTGTTATGTACCGATGTTTGAAGAGACAATAAAACAAACTCAAACATCGATACTTATTTTATTCTTGTTTATTACAAATCTCTGCGCTATATCTCTGTTACCAACGACACTCAACTCGTCGCACATCGCTTGTTTAACCCTGCCTGTCCGTATCTCTGTCTGTCTGCATACTTGTCATGGTGTGTGTTTGTGTGTCTGTATGTCTGTCTGTGTGTGTGCGTACCTGTGCTTCATACTTCATTCTGATTGGTTAATTAAATTCAATCAGAGGTAAATAATCACATTGTACAGGTCTTGATTTTTGGCTGCGCAATTTTACATATTACGCAATGCATTATTTTCGTTTGTCCACCAACATGGCAGACACCTAACAAAACGACGATGGATTACGGCGATTTCGCTGTCGGAAATTTGTCGTTTTCGAAAGATGGATTAAGCGATGATGAGATCAACTCTATTACTCGCGCTAATCACAGAATCAGGAAATTATGTAAACAAATTACTCCACAAGCAGAGAAAGATTCAATCGGACTAGGCTAAATTGAAAGATCGTCTGCTTTCCTAAAGATTCAGCAAGAAATACATTGTTTCGTTAATTCCATATCACCTCAAACTAGATGATGGTACTGATTTTAAAACTGATTACATATTTAATTGAGTCAATAATCAGATTTTGTTTAGAATATGGTCACTGACCATGACCCGTCAACGGAGGATAGGCCTACATCAACATCGAACACCGATGAGTGAGTGAGTGAGTGAGTATGGTTTTACGCCGCTTTCAGCAATATTCCAGCAATATCACGGCGGGGGTCACCAGAAATGGGCTTCACACATTGTACCCATGTCGGGAATCGAACCCGGGTCTTCAGCGTGACGAGCTAACGCTTTAACCACTAGGCTACCCGACCGCCCCCGAACACCGATGAAAAGCCTTAAGTCCACATAAACATTGACACTTTGGGTAATAAATTTGGTAAAAACCACATATTTAGGAGAGAAATGTAATGTTTTGTAATCAGCGGCAGTATAACATCATATAACAGCTGAACAGTTTAATTAAAACTACCGGTTTAGTTACCTCCATGATATCTTTCTCAAAAACATAATTTCATTTAGAAAACTTGAATCAGTTGCGACCCCGTTGTTAATTACATTGCTTGAAAGACGGTAATGTTCCGAGTACATTAATTTTTTTGCGATTGAACATTAGTTTAAAAAACATTCCAAAAGGCACCAAGGAGGGGATCGAAACGCCAAAGTCATCGACGGCAAACCGCTTTGCAACCAAGGGAAGCCAAGAATCTTCTTTCCAAGAAAGGACGCAAACAAAACCCAAAGACTACAACATATTGGAGTGTTGAGATCTTTGAACGTGGGGAAATATATGACAAGCATATGATATATAACGCTTATCTATAGACCTACTTATATCGATAATAAATCAACACGTCAATATAAATCGGAAAATGTAGGACTACTCATAGCAACGAAGAGTCAATAAAATTCATGAATGAAACTACGGGTTCAAATGAATAGATCTATGTAATATTTTATCTGCAAAATTACCCATGTTAACGGTCAGGCCTAAATTATCATCACAACTCCTACCTGATACAAATTAATTCCTTTCCATTCAGAACGGCTGAGCGAAAATGGAAAATACCCAAAATCATGCTTTCTCTCAACAGCAGCGCAGACAGTGAATCCGATCCGAAAATTGGCTGTAACATTTATATTAAGTCATTAAACTGTCCAAATTATATCTTTGATTACAGGTAATATGTTCGGTTATCTAAATTTGTCAAACAATTTGTTTCATATAACTGTTATTCTAAATCTCAGTGTACTCTATGGTACAGAGACTCTATGTACTCTATGCCCACTAAGCATTCATTTGATGAAGGATCAAGAAGTAGCTCTGAAACGTCGTATAAAGAATAAAAGAAGTCGCCAGCCATGTACTCTATGCACTCACTAAACATTCACCTGATGAAGGAGCAAGAAGTAGCTCTGACTCGTCGTTTCAGCATGATAACGCCCGTGCCAACACTGCGAGAGCAGCAAGAGACTTCCTCCAGGAGAATGGCATCAGAACCATGCAGTGGCCTGCCCTCAGCCCCGTTTAAAATCCCATTGAGCACCTGTGGGACGAGATTCAAAGACGGCTGAATGACGTCCGACCAAGGCCGACAACTGCAGCTGAACTTCATCAAGCGCCTCATCCATTCCATGTATCGACGTTGCACGGCAGTCATCAATGCACATGGCGGACACACGAGATACTGACTTGTGATGCCATTTTCTCAAAGACTAGTGTTGTGTTCACTTTAAGAACATTTGACACTTTAATTTCAACCTTGGTGATCAGTTTTGCCGAGTTTCATCTTTATAATATGTATCAAAGTATGTTTACAGTGTTTGGACAAATAAGGTTTCTCATATATCTATCCATGGTGGCGTTTCTTTTGCGGTTCAGTATAGATTCAATTAATATCCTTGTTAGATGAAACCTGTCTCTTTAGGACTACCTCAGTAAGTCGGTCATTGACAGCGTGTCGTAATACACTCACATCAAATGCAATACGTATTTGGCGACGCGTAAAACTTGACGGGAGAGATTTTCGTGTGTTTTCATGAACCTTTGGCGATTACAATCGTGAGTCATCAATGGTCCTTTGGCCGATCAGTAAAAGGTGATTTTAAAGATGTGTCAAATAGATACTAAGGTACATTTGTAGTTTGTTGTAGACTGCCTCTTGTCAGTATAGACACGGATGGTGTCCATAGTTTGAGTGTTGTTCGTGTTGTTCACTAGGATGGATGGTAGGGAGAATATTCATCAACAGACATGCAGTAAAATTGACTCATCTCAAAGTACAAATTTACAAAGTCAAAAACGCTTGGTTCAAGATTAAAGGGTCTAACTGGCGAGAAACAACGCTTCTGTTTGTATTCGTGCCAAAGAAATTCCCAGGGTTTTCCCCAGGAATGTGGAAGTAGTCGTTCAGTGTTAACGTCAGTTCAAAGAACACAATCTCGTGAAAAACGTATAACGTCAAATTGTGTCGTTCGTAATCTTATGAACGTCAGTTTCGATGTCATGGGACCGACCTCTAGTAACTCATGACACTGCCCTTGAGTAATTAGGGTGACCATCGACTGCCAGATCAATATGAACTGCAGGGCAAAAGAAAGTATACACCAATGTTTCTCCGATGGTGGCTATAAATCAAAAATGAAACAGTTATTCGATGGTGATGTATTTGATACAGGTATCTCAGGCGATATTACAAGCATCATATCAATGAGTATTTCATAACAGGCGACGTTTTTGTGCCTAGTAACGTTTATAATTTTTGGGACAAATCCAAGTTCCATGTGTATACCTTCTTTAGCCTGGGAGTTGAACACTAACATTTGAGATTACAGACAAAGTATGTTTTGATTGACTTAAAGGAAATGTCCCAGGACTGCCAATTTCACAGAGCCAAGTCTCCCTTCCTTATGGGTGACCATGCAGCATCTAATACAATCCTCCTCGGAGCAGTTCATCTCTGTTGATCGTCTCGAGTACAACATGAAACGGACAACAAACACCACTCATAAAAAAGTCACAAATAAATTATGCTCATCACTTTTTAACTTTTAACTCGTTCGACACGTTGGTGCTCACTTGCGCCTTTGTACATGGGGAATTTGTAAAAGAGACACACCTGCAACTCAGGTACTCGATTGCTGGCGGAATACTTTCCACTGAATGAAAGACTATTAATTGATACAAACATTCGGTTCAATCGGTTTCTTTGGCCCTTTGTTGTTTAACGCCGTACTCAGAAATAGTCAAGCTTTGTGATGGCGGTCAGTAAGTAATCGTGTCTAGACCAAACATTCCAGTTTTTGACACCATGCGATACGATGGCATACATCAACCAAGTCAGCGAGTCTGACCATCCGATCCCGTTAGTCGTCTTTTATGACAGGCATGGGTTGCTGGGATGTTTTCACTA